CACGGGCACAGAATAGAATAGAAGTAATTACAAAAATTATATATAATTTCACAGAAACCTTTAAAGTATCTGATATTAAATTGGAAATGAAGCAGTCAAAGCTTCTTCACTTAAAAAACAAACAAACACATTATTGTTATTATTATGTTTAAATAAGGATTACATCTTAAAAGTCCAACACACCTGTTGTTGTCTCCTTCCTATCTGTCTGTTTCCCTCAGAGAGATCCTCCTTTCCCTCCTTTCAGTGCCACTTGCCAGCAGGCCTACCACTTCTACAGTATGTGTTGCACGTAGATTTCAGATTGCTCAGGAAAAATATGCTTTGTGATTCATCACCCCTCATGGGTGAGGGGGTTGAAACATGACATAGGAACAGACCAACCAACAGACAAAAAACACAAGGGGAAGAAAGCGAAGCCAGAAGTGAACAAGGGGCCAAGGTAACTTAAGAGGAGAACAAAAGGACTAGACAGGGGACAGAAGGAGACAAACAACAAGCACACATGAGACGGAGACACCAGGGAACAAAGAAGATAACAAATCAGGGAAGATGAGACAAAGGGGAATACAAACAGGCACAGAAGCAAAGAAGGACAAAAGATTACCAAAATGAAACAGGAAATTATCGATACTGAGACAAGGACATGGACAAACATGGGTATCAGGGACCAGGCAACCAAGAACATACAGGCACAGGTATAACCTTCACAAAATGGGTTTTATTATGCCCCAAAAAGGCAAAATTATTACAAAAATTCTAAATGACAGAAACAAACTATTTTAAGAAGTAAGTGGGCCCATAAAAGAGGCCAACTAAAACAAAATTCTACTAAAAACACTTAACAAAACACCATAACTCAGCAAACTGACCTCCCCAAATGAGAGACTACTCCTGTTATATATTAAGTGAATGAACCATGGTATACATCAAAGGTGGAAACCACAGAGACAATAGCTTTACTCAAACCAGGAAGGACTGGAGCAGCAGCCAGGTAACTCAAAAAGAAGAGAAAATGATTAATACAACATATACGTACAACATATAGTACAATAACAAACAATACAAAACAGATTTATTGCTCGCACTATGGCCTGCTACTGTCATGTATTACAAACTACCCAATTTAAACCTTTCAGTTGATTTATGGACATTGAAGCTTTACAGTACCATGCAAAAAGAAAGGTAAACATAAATATTACCTGAGTATTTCAGTTGTGTGTTGGCATGCAGCCATCACAATGAGGATGACACTGAATGAACCTGGGAGACACAAGAATAAACCCGTAAGACTAAGGAAAGGAAGGGGATGCTATAGGGAACTAATAACCACTTCTAAAAGCAAATTCCCAAAAGACACCAATACTCACCATGATATTTGTATGTTCTTCCCATGTCTGTTAGGGTTTTTTTCTTTGGTACTATGGCTTCCTCCCACAGTCCATATACATTGATGGGGTTATAACTGGTGATTGTAAACTGACAGTGGGTGTGAATGGCTGTCTGTATTTATGTGTTAGCCTTCCACAGACTGGCAACCTGTCCAGGCTGGATGCTGACTCTCACCCTGACAGCTGGGATAGGCTCCAGTCTCTCCATTTGGATACTTGGACCATCAGATTCAACCACTGTGCACCATATAAAATCAATAAAAAATATAATTTTATCTCCAAATTGGGTAGCAGGCGTTTGGAATTACACAGCAAGTATGTCAAGTATCATGTCAATGATAATGTTAAAGACTATGGTTGGATAACAGGATCACTGCATTTTTGCTATAGACCACTTTATTCTTTAATAGAGTAGATGCAGTCATTTATAAAGATTGCAAGTGAAGTTCCAGGGTTCCTGGCTGCTTCAGTCTGCATACAGAACATCCATGGTGTATGAGACACGCTGTATAAAGTGCTTTGAGTTCTCATGCAGAGTAGAAATGAACTATATAAGAAGCAGTCCATAATCAAATCACATATCTATTGAAATGCAATGTTGCCTGGTTATCTTAGATTTGATGAGCCAGCTATAGTTATCCCGTCTAACCTAAACAAGGTAAAGAAATACTGTACCAAAGCCCAAAGTTTTGTCGTTCTAGCTTTTGTCCAGCAGGAGTCGCTCACACATCACATGGGCTCCACTCGACTTTACATTTACAGCCTGCGTGGGGGTGTCACACTGGAAGGCTTACTAATGTTTGGAAACATTTCCAGGAGAATTTACGAAACAGTTAA